CTTGCCGTTCATGGAAGACCGGGAGAGTGTATCCATCCTTTGGCTCTGCTAACAAAAGAGAAAAGGGAATGAATGCTTTAAACTAAAAGACAAAGCATTGCTTTTTATATTATTTATTTATTTTCTGGATTAAATGAACCTCTCTTTACTTGAGGGATTTGACCCATTGCTTCCTGCATGCAAATGAGCTCCAAGGAACCAGGAGTTCAATTAATTTCCATGTTTCCAGCATCTGAGCTCAGAGATTTACCTAATCTCTCTCTCTCTCTCTCTCTCTCTCTCTATCTCTCTCTCTCTCAGCCACGCCCTTCATTATATGTGCCAGCACAGGTGTGAAGAGACAAAAAGGTCAAAAGATAAAACCAAAGATGGATCAGTATGAGATTAGGCAAAGAACAATCTCAGAGAAAAGGTTGCGCTTACACATGAGAGGGTTTTATAAATTAATGTGCAAAGCTGCAAACAAGAGAAAAGACAGAAATGGATCTGAACTTTGGTTACGAGTTGGGGAGTAACTGCAATCAAAGTTTCAGTCTTGTCCTGTAACAAGAAAACTAAAGTGCTGGTTTTAATGTTGTATTGCACACAAAGCCTTACAGGTGGGTAAAGTGAGACATGCTCTCAGAAACAGACATCTGTATTAGACTATTGGAAACTCTGGTTCATTGAAGCAATTTTTTTGGTTTGGACAGTATTCCAGTGATTTGCTTCATTCAAATGGCTCATTCGAAATGAACTGGTTCACTGGTTGATTCACCAATTCATACGAATCATTACTCACAAAGTTCCTACAAATCATTTTACAGTTTGGGGTCAGTAAGGTTTTGAAAGAGCTCTTGCGCTCACCAAGGCTGCTTTTATTTTGATTAATATTACAGTAATATTGTGGAATATTAACATTTTAAATAACTCTTTCCTGTTTTCATTTATTTTAAAAAGTAATTTATTCCTGTGAGGGTAAAGCTGAATTTTCAGAATCTTTACTGTGTCACACGATCCTTTCGAAAATCATTCTAATATGCTAACTTGCCGTTCAAAACACATTTGTATTACTATTATCAATGTTGAAAACAGTTGTGCTCCTTAATATTTTTGTGGAAACCAGGATTCTTTTCGGAACTCCGGAGCAGGTTCGTGAATCTTTTGATAGGATGATGAACATTTTAAAAATCTGACTGACATTTTTGGTGACAAAAAACGCAACTTAACACTTCAATATAATTACGTCCAAGCTTTTTGTGAAATATGGATTAACTTATTAATCTGTTGCTTGACCTCTTCATATTTAAGGACAGAACTACAGTTTCCAAAGTCAGACTTAGCCTATGATTTTCAAGGGGGTAGCAGAATTTATAGGAACATTATGACATGTCCCTACATTTAGCAACTAGCTAGGCCTACTAAATTGTCCCAAGCAATAATTTTCATCAAACAATAAATGTCTGCCGACTGCCGTTATGTCAATGCCAAAATCAAATATACGCCCTTGTAACTTATAGTGTTGTTAACAACTTTTTTCGTGAGATACAGAGCTTCCCCAAGACTGACTTCCACACGTGAGCTTGTGTATGAAATCATATTTCACAGGTGTTCTCTGACCTACAGCGCTTTCCTCTGAAGTCCGTTCTTCATTAAGCAGTCATCTCCCTTCACACATCTAGAACTATCCTTTTATATGTGTATGTCTGTGTGGGGGGCTGTTGTGGGGGGTTTTGAAATGTGAGAAAATGAAACTAAACCTCACGATGTGGGATGTAGTGCAGAGGATAGTTTCACAGAGATGGATTAAAGGGATAGTTCACCAAAAATGAAGATGTCATCATTTATTCGGCCTGAGTTGCATGATTGTTTTCCTACAGCAGCACTGACTGAATCTGTTCCTCATCCACCTTAATTTGCAAGCGGACGTAATCTTCTGTAAATGCACGAGACTTCCAATTCCTTAGTGCATCCACCTTATTCTTCAACGTGAAAGTAATCTTATGGGCGAGACTTCCGGTTCATTAGCCGCTATATAGGTAAATAAGGAGAAGAATAACAACGTGCAGTAGTCTAAATGCTAAAACTGTTTGCACCACAAACCAGTGTGTTCATAGTTAAGATAGTACATTAAAAATAACATGGTAAGACACACCAAACTGCAATATCAAGCTGTTTTGTACAGCTAAAAATGAAATTGCCCAGACCCATAAAAAGTACAAATGGCCGGCCCGCTCTTACGGGAAAAATAATATGGATAGGTAAGTAAGTAGAAGAAAAACAAAGTGCAGTATGGTAGAACATTTTGCCCTACAAACCATTGATATTATATTAAAATAATATGAAAACAAATACCAATTTGCAATATCATCATGCAGTATAATGGACTGTTTTTGTACAGCTAAAATAACTGGAAGCGGATAACACCGGAAGTCTCTATCATTCAAGGTACAAATGGCCGCACCTGCTCTTATATTAAAAATAAGGTGGAGAAGGAGAAGAAACTGCACACACTTCACTGGTTCTTGAATGCAGCATGACATTTTTTGATGTTGAAAGCTGGTTGAGGGGTTTCTCAATGAATAAAGACTTAAATTTTGGCCTGTTTCTCACAAAACGTTATTCTAAAGACAAAATGTACTATACCAGTCATATATTTTTATGGTGTTTTATGGCTTGCTTGATGGTAATGTGGTCTTAACATTGTGCAAAACAATCCTTGTGTTCTACAGAAAAATGAAGGTGGTGAGTAAATGATCACAAATGCTTCACTTTTGATGAACTATTATTCCTTTAAAGGCTAAAGCTAGGCATTTACAACAGTGTGTGTACTTACAAACTTTTGATTCTTTCTGTCTTTGTTTTGTTATTAAATATCTTTAGATGTTGAGAGTGAGTTTATATATTAGAGAAGTATTATCTAAATTATCTTTGCTCTTTATATCGTCATAACCTCCACTTACACCAAGAGACTGCAGAAATATTGGGACAGGACCTACATTTACCAACCAAAATACTCTTTTGGTGTCCAGCTCACTACAGTTATTTTAGTCACAGGATCCTCACAGACGGACGCTCTGGAAAACTGAACTCTTTTCAGAAGGTCCAAATGCATTTTTTACACTGGCACAACAGTCCATTTCACACAATTTTTGATTAACCCATCGTTTTTAATGTCCAGATGTCTACATCAGTTTATCTGATCATTTTATTCAGACGCAGGTCCTGTTTTGTATAGAGGAGACCAAAGCAGCATACATTCAGACAAGAGTTAACTATATTATGAAGATAAAATGTAACCTAAAAGTTCAACTGTATTCTCAGGACAATGTCTAATCGGGGCAAGTTGTCACATGGAATTTTTCACAATTTATTGACGGCAATGTTTGTTGATTTGAGTACTTTTAACATGTATACTGTTACAGAAATTGTGTTTCAGAATTTCTGTTTAAATTTAGCTTTAAAGCCTATAATAGGCTGTTTAATGACAGGTTTCATTGAGTTCTCTGTACCCCATACAGTGTAACAACATTCCCCAGACATAGTGTTTAATGTGTGTTAAATTAACTGTTTCTTCCCCCCCCTCTAATCGTGTTAGAAATGTTCACTGATAAAAATGATCATATTTTACTGGCTCCTGTGGTGAACTAATATTTGCCCACATGGCTGCTTGGTACATTCTCTCATGCGTAACATACTGTACAAGGTTCAAACAGGAATAATATCAAAGCGAGTATTTATATATATACGTGTGTGTATAATTATTGCTCGATTTCTATCAGTATGTATTATGCTGCCATAATATGTTTCTCGTAATGCCACGTTATATATTAAAAAATAAAAATAAATGTAATAAAAAAGCATTTTTGCTATCGTCGATGGTTTTCACTGTCCATTAACATGGTTAGGGATTTCTGAGATTTAAATAGCTCTTGGGTTTAAAAAAGTGTTTTGATGCACATTTTCAACATAAAATAATAGATTAGACTGGACTTAACGAACAGCTGCTCTCTATGATTTATGTTAAAAATAGTCAGTTTTACCCGATTTCCCTCTTTTTCCTAGGTCACCTGTTGAGAAGGTGCAAATTGCGTAAATTATTTCAAGCTGAGATCGTAACGCACACGCGTTTAGTGTGGAGTATATCCATCTGTGTGTGCGCTTTGGTGATGCGCGTGCGTTTTTTTTTCTCAGGGTGGCACACACACCGAAGTCTGCCAGCGGACACTTGCGGTGGCATACCGTGACAGTGCAGCTTTACCGGAGCGGAGCGAATTGAGAGTCGAGCCCATCCATCCATCCGTCCATTCACGCGTTACCGGGGAAACAGATGGGCACGTTCGCGCTCGGACCTGTTGTTCATAGGATCATCAAGCTCAGCGTTTCGGCAAAACCACGGGAATAAGTGAGTTTCTCCTGGGTTGGATCACGTTTGGCGCATCAGTCGTGCGCTGCGCGTCTCCGCCGCTCATCAGATGATGTTGCTGCGTGTTCACGGGTCCTCCTCCGGTACCACCGGCATTACTCACGCACCGGCGGAGTGAGAACAGCTGAAGATGATCCTCAGATGAACAGGTCGGGGAAACTTTTTCTGGAAGATGTTCGGGGCAGTTTGGATACCTGATGGCCACGACGATGAGTTTGTTTAACCGCAGCGGAGAAGGAAATTTAACAGGTGCGTAATTGTCACTCGAGCATGAATCCCAGTGGCTTCTGGCGCTTTCTCCAGTTCAGAAGCTCTTTGGGGATCACGCGGGGAGCGCGCTAGTTGATGGCACTGCGCGCCGGGAGGACTTTACTGTGGTTCGGGCAGGTTTTGCGCAGAGTTTCGCGGCTGCAGGGCTTGTGGTTCCGGCGCTCCAGCAGTCTGCTGTGTCTCTCCACCAGCCAGGACCACGACCAAGGGACCTGTTACAACCGCAACCGGTGTCCGAAGACGCAGCAGCAGCAACAGCAGCACTGCCCCTATCCACCCTTTCCAGACTGCTGCTGCGCCTTCCCGGGGGATAAGAGGGGACATGAACCCCTCAGCCGCCGGTTCCTGGTGGCCATGAAGAGGCAGAACGTGCGGACGCTGTCCCTGATCGTCTGCACGTTCACCTATCTGCTGGTCGGGGCCGCGGTGTTTGACGCGCTCGAGTCGGACTTCGAGATGCGGGAGAAGGAGCAGCTGGAGGCTGAGGAGAAGCGCCTCCAGGGCAAGTACAACATCAGTGAGGATGACTATAAAAAGCTGGAGACCATCATCATGGAGGCCGAGCCGCACAGAGCAGGGGTCCAGTGGAAATTTGCAGGGTCCTTTTACTTTGCCATCACTGTCATAACCACTATAGGTGAGTTTCGGCTGCTTCTCCGCGTGTCTTTCACGCGAGGTGGCGAAAAGAGTCTCGTTTGGATATAAACGTGTGGTTTATTAGACAGCTTTTTTTGCACTTCGTATGGTGTGATGCTGGACGTCGCGTGGGGTACCTGATTAATCGTTTCAGCGCGAGGAAAAGTCCAGACTGTGGTCTGTCTGGCAAGATGAAGGGACGTTATTAGTGCAGGACTCTGAATGCGCAGGAAATCACTGTTATTATCACACCACAGGTGTGTCATTTGTTGCGTAATTTCAGAAATCACAAAAACTAAATAAATAACTAGTCAAGCAAGTAATGTATTAGTTCTAATGCGATTATTTGCATTGAAACACATTTCTAACCTAAGTGTTGAAATCGTGACTGAGCTGTTTGACAAAATTGCAGTTGACTATATATATATATTAAAATAGCTTGAAATGACATTAAACTGTACTTTAATGTCTTTTTGATTTTCTTAATGTGTTTTCATATTGAGATTTTAATGTGCACGAGCTGCTGAAGCATTGCATAATGTTCTTTAAAGAGATATGGGAATACTAATTACTTTATTGTTTTTTATTACGAGATAAAACGTTTGTCAATATGGCATGATTATCTATATTCACAGGCAGCATATGTAATAGTGTGGACTGTAGTGAAGTTTGTAGTTCAGCCTTGTGCCGTGGTGCTGAAAGAACAGCTCACCGAAACAAGAGTCAGCGTGATCGAGCACCGCATGACATAAAACATTCATAATGCGTCTTTATGATCAGGCATCGTGACAGTTCATATGAGGACATGAGACGTGCTGGAGAGGCTCAGTAATCTCTCTGGCGCACAAACACACGCGCTGAGGTCAGATGAAGGCCAGAGTTTTGCGTGTTGCAGTATTGTATCACTGATTGAGTTCATTTCTCAATGCATCATCATTCAGTGTCATTAATGGATCAGTAGAAGCGCTGTAAAATCAATCCTGATGCAACAGGTGCCGGCTGCAGCTACAGCTGGGTCGCCCCTCACTGATCCTGCACATTATTATTGCAGCACTGCATTGATATTCCTCAGACATTTTGGTTTTGGTTTCTAAAGCCTTTGTCTTAAGTATTAAACGTGTGCAATTAATGCTCAGTGTTCAGACTCCATGTAGATTCAGGCCATCTAAGTCTAGATGTATTTGCATATTGATTGGTCTTTATTGCGTCTCTTGAAGCATCTATAGCCGATGCAAAGATGATGCTAAGTGTCATGACGACAGCAAAGCAGCATTTCATTTAGAACCAAACACTATAACTGAAACACGCCAAAAACTTCAGCACTATTTCTGTGCTGCTTTGCAAGAATTCCATTTCCTTCAGGAAATGCAAATCTAGTTTAGAAATGCAACTCTGCAGCACCAAATTATCTCTCTCTCTATTTCTTCTGCATACGTTCAGGTGCTGGTTTCCTTTCACAGGTTGAACATGTTGCTTTTATAATCAGTGCTGGTCTTTTACAGGCCTTGCTTTTGAATGGCTAACGCTCCTCGCTTTGAATACACACTCATTTTACTGCTGCTTCATTCCTGTTATGTAGCACCTTTCAAATTATTTTCTGTTCAAAGAAAAGGGTAAACCAGACTGATATTTGTGCTCTGGTCAACTATGCAAATTTTAATCTGACGATTTACGTAATGGAAAGAAAGCTGGGCATAACTGAAGAGGGTTTTGATTACTTGTGTTATTCACCGTTTTGAAATTATACAATTTTCTGTCATTTTATCAAACAGGATGGAGTGAGAAATCAGTGAAGAGCATAAAACATCACAGAATTCCTCAAATTCATCACTATTCCATGATGATGTCACTTCCCATTTCCTGGAGGATGATGTCATCAGGCATTTGCTGGTTTGAGGGATTAACATACTGTAGTCGGGAAGTAATACTGAGGACACAATTAGTTACCAATTAAAGCAATATTCTGAAGAAATATGGTTTAATTGAAAAATGAAGAAAAAAACGGAAATATTTCTTAATAAATAGTACATTTGTCATGATAAAATTAGTACAGCACCCAAAAAATAACATGATAAAAAATAATACACAAGGTCAGAAATTCCAACAAAATGAAAAAAAAATACCTCATAGTGAATTCCTTTATTTTTACTTGATTAGTGTTATATTTATTTTCTTTTATTTACCTTTTAACATTTGGTATATGTGACCCTGGACCACAAAACCAGCTTTCTTATGAAAGCTGAATAAATAAGCTTTCCATTGATGTATGGTTTGTTAGGATAAAACAATATTTGGCTGAGATGCAACTATTTGAAAATCTGGAATCTGAGGGTGCAAAAAAATCTAAATATTGAGAAAATCGCCTTTAAAGTTGTCCAAATGAAGTTCTTAGCAATGCATATTACTAATCAAAAATTAAGTTTTGATATATTTAAAGGTACGGAATTTACTAAATATTTTCATGGAACATGATCTTTACTTTTGGGGAAGTCGTGGCCTAATGGTTAGAGAGTCGGACTCATAACCCAAAGGTTGTGGGTTCGGGTCTTGTACCGGCAGGGATTGTAGGTGGGGGGAGTGAATGTACAGCGCTCTCTCCCACCTTCAATACCACGACTGAGGTGCCCTTGAGCAAGGCACTGCTCCCCGGGCACCGCAGCATAAATGGCTGCCCACTGCTCCAGGTGTGTGTTCATGGTTTGTGTGTGTTCACTGCTGTGTGTGTGCACTTAGGATGGGTAAATGCAAAGCACTAATTCCGAGTATGGGTCACCCTACTTGGCCACATGTCACGTCATGTCACGTCACTTAATATCCTAATGATTTTTGGCATAAAAGAAAAATCGATAATTTTGACCTATACAATGTTTTTTTGGCTATTGCTACAAATATACCCCAGCGACTTTTTCTGGTTTTGTGCTCCAGGGTCACATATTTCATAACAGTTTGTATTGATTTATGTATGCGTGTATTTATTTTACATTCATTTGTTTCATTATGTTTATTTACTTTTTAACATTTGATATTTTATTTTGATATTTATTTTTACATACATTTAAAATGACATCTAGTCAAAAGATTCAAAAATCACCCCATGTTTACTGTGAAATTGTAGACAAAAGTTAATAAAAAAATAAACGAATAGATTTCCATCTTTAAAAAGTACGAGTTCAGTTTTTAAAAAAAATCATATTTGATATGCTCAGCAGTGCATGTTGCGTGTCCACACAGCAGGTCTACTGTACAGAATGTACGTGACTGTTGGTACTCAGTGTGTTGACGGTGTTTTAGTGGTGTGTGAACAGCAGCTCTTGTGTATAATGAATAAGCATCCCGTTCTGTAAAAGGACACTAATGTTCTGCTGTGTGCGTTTGTATACAGTATGATCACGAGAACCACACACGCACATGCAGGTGAGCACACAGCGTTGTGGACTGAATAAACTGTCTGTTGCTTTGTGCTTGTAATTGCTGGTCATTTGCCGATCATTTGCAAACCATTGGAATATAGCTATTGGTTTTGATTACATTTTTTACTAATGCATCACTAATGTGCTCATGTGACTTCATACAGCTTTCTTTCCTGCTTTACCATTGTAATTCAGTGCTGTTTGGCCATATACTATACTATAAATACCATGGTGTATGGATATGCTAATCATTCAGTACTTTGATTTATTTCAAAGCATAGCATGGTTTTACTAGTATTGGATGATTTAAAAATATAATGTAATTATATTTAATTATGCTTAATATAATTTTTCTTTCTTTCTTGTGATTTAAATGAAATCTTTTTTTGGATGATGGTGCAAAAACATCAGAATGACTGGCTCTAGACATCCTCATGATCTCATCTGTGTGTATCATCGCATTGTTGAGAAGGAGAAAATTGTGTGTGTGTGTGTGTGTGTGTGAAGCCACACCTCAGCAGGACAGCGACAATACTGCAGTGCACTGCATATGTGTGTGTGTGTGTGTGTGTTTACACTACTGCAGTATCGCTCAAAGCATCCTAGATCTGATGATGAGTATTTTAGTAGTTCAGTTTGAAGTGCAAACTTAACTTTCCGTACCACCTGTTATGTATTTGAGATGAATTTTGGTTTTGTAACTGAAATAAATATGCATAAATAAATATGTTTTTAATTCCATATACAATAAGACTGGTAAAGTTAGGAACTGCTTTTATAGCCTGACAGGTTTATTTGGTTTAACTGAGTTTGATATTATTGTTGTTTTTATGTGGACAATCAGACTTCTCTCTTCATGTTGTAAAAAATGTACCCTATTTCTACACTCTCAGAAAAAGATGGTGCAAGACCACCAGGACGGTATCTTTCCAAAGATACAAATGTGTACATTTGAGGTACTTATATGCACCCTTTAAGGTTAAATAAGACACAAAAGTGTACCTTTTGAAAAGTTACCACCCCAGTGACAGCTATTTTACCTTTTTTTTCTGAGAGTGTATTAAACACACTTTTCTGATTTCATCCAATCAGTTCCTGATGAAAAAAATGTAATAACATTTCTTTCAGAATAACCTGTTTCACACAACAAGTCTGATTATGGAAAATTAATTTTTATGTTAACTCTACTGATTCCTGAAACTTTACGCAAACCATCTTATAAATTCTATTTGGAAGTGTCAAGAAACATCAGCATATATTAAATTATAAATGACGCACGTTTAAAGGAACACTCCACTATTTTTGAAAATAGGCTCATTTACCAACTCCCCTAGAGTTAAACAGTTGAGTTTTACCATTTTCGAATCCATTCAGCCGATCTCCGGGTCTGGCGGTAGCACTTTTAGCTGTAGCTTAGCATAGATCATTGAATCTGATTAGACCGTTAGCATCTCGCTATACTCTCATTCCGGCGTAATATTCAAGAAACTTTGCTGCCGTACCATGGGTGCAGCAGGTGCAGTGATATTACGCAGCGCCTGAAAATAGTCCCCAGCACGCTCCCTGTGCAAGCAGGTGGTCACGTTGTTTA